AGTCTCGAATGAGACGAGATAGAGGCTCTTCCGTGGATTCGGTTATTGCCCGACCGTTGCTGTACGGGACACATTTGTCACAGCGCAATAAAGTAATAAGTGGAGGGCGGAGAGAGAGAGAGGACTATACCTGCTCACCGAGAGAAGCACTTGCCCTCGTCGTGCAGTCGCATTCCCCGTAAATCTTGTTTTTTTACTCCATTGTTCTGACACAAATCATGCAGATTTTTTACGGCTAACAACTTTTGTTTCCGATTTTTTTTTGTTTTTTTGACTTTCCAAGTTTTTTACCGGACTCCCACGGAGTAACATGATGACTTTCGGCGCAGTTAAAAAGTCATCCCGAAGGTTCGGACAAGAAATTCTCTCCCCTATCGGTGATTGAACGTTTCTCACAATTTCACGAACGAGTTCAAGAGGTTAAGTAGGTACATAAGGGATGACCCGATTGCTTTATAAAATTCTTGAATTCGAATATAAAGAAAAGCTGAGAGAGAAAGAAAAAACGGTTCGGCAGCTGTAGCGGCATGAAAAAAAAAGAAACGTCGGTCGCAACAAAGGGAAATGATTTTTTATTTTGCCCTGGAATACTGTAATTTCGTGCATAATGGGGAGCCTCTCTCTTTCTCATTCACTAGCAAAAGGCACAAGAGAAAGAGAGAGAGAGAGAGAGAGAGAGAGAGAGAGAGAGAGAGAGAGCCGTGGGGGAGCGTACATCGCGAACAGCGCAAAATATACTCGAGATTCGCTACAACGGCATTATACTTGACAAACACCATAGGCATTTCATGGCCACGTACTCGTGGAACCAGTCGGTGTTGCTGTTTTGTGGCATTGTTCGAGACGTCACCGAGAGATTCAACTAGGAGCCTCTTGTCGATGTCGTCTGTGTTTTGGGTCTCTCGAGGACTTTAGTTTGGGACCGTTGCAGGCTTTCGCATGAGAATCGAGCGAAAGTCTATTTAATACGGGTCTTCAACCAGGCACCGCAGATTTTCAAAGTTTAGATCTGCACCAATATGTTCGAAAAATTGTTTAGTTTCAATTATTTGATAATAAATTGTATCTACTTCGGTTACGAAAATATTCCACTCAATTAGTTAAGTATAACGAAAACTCAAAGTGACCAATGTCGGCGACAGTGCCCGTAGCGCAAGTCAAGTTATCTTGAAACTATCATATTAAAAACAATCAAAACACATATAATTTACGATTCAATGTTATGAAAAATTTGTTGTAAATCGTGCTAGAATTGGGTATACCACGTTGCGATAGATGTTTATGAACATCATATAAATAAAATAATATCGACTGAATATCATTCAAATACAAATACAACTTCTTGCTATGTGCGCACACAGTGTCATTATTAACTCACAAGAGCCACGGAACAATTATTCAGCGGTGAAGTACGAACCCGAAGGGTTGACACGCACGCGTACCACAAGTGGCACCCAAGCATACCAGGCAGGTATCAACTGTGGTGCACACTTTGAAACGCACAAGCATTTTAAACTGCTTAAATATGCTTAGCGCCAGAGGCGCACAGTTACAATACAAAACGAAAAAAGGGTTGGAGCACCTGTGGCGCGCCCCATGCAAATACCTTCGGTTGAAAAAAAGGGTTTAGGCCACTCGCGTGCCACGCAACTGTGCGGGGACGAGCCCCAAGGGGTTACGTACATATATATTCAGATTAGGGTTCTCTTTCGAGGACCGCGCGTGTTGCGTCAATGGGTCGTCGGCTGTGCACTTGATCCCGAGAACTGCGACAGCGACAAGTGCCGCCGAGATGATTGATCGACGAAGATTTTAAAGCTCACGCGGGATGCTCCAAGATTCATTGTGTCGTGTATACACTCGACGTTCCAAGTCGGGGCTTAATCGCGGGGCAATGAGCACGACATCCGTTATTTATATACGAACGGAGATCTTTTATACGCGTCGATCGCATACTTGGGCATTGCATCCGGGAGCAATCAGAGCAGCGCGCGCGCGCGCGCGGCCATAGATATTGTTCGCGCCTTGGTCGTCTCGTGTGCGCAGCGCCGATGCTAGCATAATAGCTTGAGCAAGAGAACGTCGGCGGCAGCAGCAGCCTCCTTCTTCGTGCGGGGGCGTCATTAAAATCAATACGCGGGCCGTTACCCTCCCTTGCTCGCTTGCTCTCGCCCACCCTTGTCTAGGCGCCCTTCTTGTACGGGGGGAGAAGAGCACGAGGACCGGCTTTTTCTGCGCAAGCGCCGAGTCTCGAGAGAAGCTCCGCGACGCCGAGAGGGAAAGAGTTGACGACGACGACGACGACGACGACGACGACGGAGAGAAGGATAAGAAGGAAAGAGGAGAGAGCCGAAGGAGAAAAAGAGTTAGGGGTCGTTGCTGGTTGCCGTGCTACGAGCGAGCCAGAGAGAAGAATGCACATTGTTGATTCGAAATACGATTGACGCGCTTTCAATTTCGTGAAATGCCCACGGGCCATCGCTACCGCGACTTGGATATTCCACCGAAAGCGAGGACGCGAGAGGCGCTGCGAATCGCAACGCTCGCGGAAGCCCAAAGTTATTTCGATTAATTTTCGCCGGGGAATAGCAGAGAAAGCATATCTGGAATGCCTGGCGCATGGAAACGAGCTCCGTCTGGCCGGGGTGTCAAGGGGAAGAGAGAAAGTGGGGAGAGGCGAGCCCGAGACGCTGGAGGGAAAGGAAGGAGGATGGAGGGCACACAGCATGCAGAAAGTGAGAAAAAAGACGTTGCTCGGCGCGCAAGCTTGAAAGGGGCGGCTGCTTTTTCTCCGGGCACCCTATGGCCAATAAGAGCCACTTTAAAACACCTTTCGCTCTTGGCGCGAGCGTAGCGACCCTCTTGGGGGGGCTATCCTTGCGCCTGCCGTCGATTCAAATAGCCTCGCCCCCTTTCGCGCATGGAAAATACGCGCGAGCGATAAAGCGCGAGAAGAGAGGAGGGAGGGTAGGGTGTGCGGGAAGCAAGCGGTCGCCGCCAATAACGTGCCACGCTGCTCTAAAGTTATCCAGCGGCGAGGGCGTTGCAAGCATCTCCAATTCAAATGCCTCCGGCACAAGACTGTATGCTAATCGGAATTCAAGCTCGCAGCTCGGTGGGTGGAGTTAAACTCGGCAAGAGGAACGAGCTTTTTCTTCAAGGGCGGTTTCGGATATTATACCTTTGCTCTCTCGGCTTTCTCGATGTCTGTACATTGCACGGCTGCTCTTGGTTCTCCCATTCGATCGACAATTTCTTTCCGAGCTTCTAATTCCTTTCCTTTTTTTTTATTTCTTACAGGGATGTAAATCGCACAGCCTCCTACAAACTCAATTGAACTCCCGTCTTACAATCAAATATCTTCCTTCACGCGCTGATTAGCACATTCACCGTCGTTCCAGATTTCATTGCATTCTTGATTCAAGCACAAAGGCCGTTCCCCAAGCCACAAAAGAAAAGCATGAGAAAATGAAGCCCTTCATCTCGAATTTGTGTATACCTACAATAACGAGATTGCGAGGGAAGACGCGCGGGATAAGAAGCGTACATAAAGGAAGGAGCGAGCCCACAGCCAAGGTACACAAGTAAGTGTTCGTATGCCACATGTGTGCGCGCGTGTGTGTGGCGTCTGCGAGCATGTGCGCACGTATAAGAGGACAAGAAAAGCGCCAGTCTCAAGAATGGATATTGCATACTCGCAGGGCTATCGAATGACCAATTCTCTCCAACGGGACGCAAGCACACACGTACACACGCGCCATGTATAATGTGGGTGGCTCGATAAAGACTCCGCCGCGCGTCCTTTTTTCCCTGCAACTAATTTTGCTCTCTCCGGCGACAGCGGTCACGTGGCGGTGAGTCGACTCTTTCGCTCTCCCCTTTTCTCTCGCTGATTATCGCCATCGTCGCTCCGCCAGTCGCTTGCCTCGCCTGTCTCTCTTTTTCACATTCAACCCTTTTTCGTAAAAGGGTCAACCATATCAATCATACGATCGAATTTGTGCAGCGAGCAAGTCGTTCATCATTCTGCAAGTATTTACGGAAAACTGCAGCAGGAATTGTTGTCGCGTGATAACGTTGTGCAAGTTCAACTACGCTTGACAAAAGTCCACGAGTTGTCAACGCGCGGAAGGACATTTGTCCAATTTGCAACCCAAAGATAAAAGCGATTTTATAACAATTCTCAAAGAGAAATATTTGATCGATTAATCATCATCATCGGCTCGCAATAGTGTATAAACAGCAATATTTCGCAATTCCGCGGGTAGTCAGTGATAAAAGCACTCACGAACGTCAGGCCAATTAATCCCCCAATCCGGCAATGACATCAGCTCTCCCTTATCACCTGCCGCGTCGACTCGCAGCGTCTGAAACTTTGGCTGGCCGAAGATCGATAAATGAGAAGCGAAAAAAGGCAGGTCAGTGGTCGAGCCTTGAGCGGAGAGGACATGCAAATTGTCCGTAGCGTATGGCTGTGAAATGTGCTCGTAGTCGCTCTCGCAAGGAGGCTTGTTGGCGATTCGCGGGGCCTTGGGTGGGCGTGACCGTCGTCTCGGCGGTCGAGACCATTGGCCCCACGTTGTTCCCCACCGACGCACGCGCGCTTTTATCCCCACCAGCAACAGCCAAACCCGCCACCGCTGCTGCTATCAGTGAGCAAAGAAAGAGAGAGAGAGCGAGAGAGAGAGAGAGCGAGAGAGAGAGAGAGAGAGAGAGAGCGAGAGAGAGAGAGAGAGAGAGAGAGAGAGAGAGAGAGAGAGAGAGAGAGAGCCGTCAAAGCAAGCAAGGCAAGTCCAGCAGCGGTATACGGCGAGATATCCCTCTCTGTCGCTAGCGCACGCCGACTCCCCCACCGCGTTGCTCTCTCTCTCTCTCTCTCTCTCTCTGACACTTTGCGCGAGCGAGCGAGCGAGCGAGAGAGAGAGAGCAGTCTCAAGCGCCGGCTTAGCGGCTGGCTGGCACAGGCAGGCTAGTGTAGCTGCACACATGCACGCGACAGCATCGTAGCCACTGTGAAAGCAAGGTTCTGCGTGCGAGCGCCGCGTTTCCAAGTGCTCGCACCAGAGATTCACACATATACATATTCTTGCTTGCACGTCTTCATTGTTTTGTTTTTAAAATCTTCTTTCGCTTCGGCCTTTTTATGTAGGAAAATACCATGCAGTGTGTATTGACAGTGTACGAGCAAAAGGGGGAAACACGGAGCATGTTTACCGCGGCGGCGACTTGACAGGTGTGTCGGATTATCTATCATCCGCTCTCTTTCGGCGGAAGAACTGTGGTGCGTGTGCAGTTATGCCCTCGCGAGGTGACACTGATCCGTTGTGCCGTGTTGTAACAAAACAAGGCCAAACGATAGCCCGTTGCACCTGTCGTCAATGACTTGTACTGGAGTTTATTGCGGTGGAGAAGTCGATCAGCGCTCGTAAAGTGTGTGCCGTGTATACATGATCCACAAACAAACAAATAAACGAAAATAAAGAAGGAAAAACAAGTGAAGTATTGCGAGGCTATCGGAGGTGCGTGCGCGAGTGCCAAAAGCAGCAAACGAAAAAATTGAGGAACTAAGCTCAACCGTACCACCGCAAGCACGTTGGATTTCGCGGCGTTGAGTAGCTTCGCCGGGGGCGGGGTGAGCCAGATCGCCGCGGTGGCGGGTGGCACAGGTGTGTTGGCACTGCCGGGCTCGTTGAGCGACAAGGGCCTGGCGCTGTTGGCCCAGCACCATCACCACCAGCAGCAACAGCAGCACCAACATCACCACCACCACCACCACCACCATCAGCAGTCGCAGCCGCAGCAGCAGTTCGCCAGCAGCAGCAAGACGAAGGCGGGCGCAGGCTTGGCGGGCCTCGACAGCGAGGCGGTGCGCCGCTGGGTCGCGGAGGCCGCGCGACATTGTCCGCCGCGACCGCTGCATCCACCGTTGCCGCCATTGCACGTGCAACACATCACGTCCTCGTTGTCGCCCTCACCCACTCAGCAGCAAATCAGCAGCAGCAGCAGCAGCAGTGGCAGCAGGCACAAGCAGAACAACAGAATCGAGCAACAGCAGCAGCAGCAGCAGTTCGCACCGGCGCCCATGACGCAGACCCAGAGCATGCACCTCCTCGAGAGCGCGAGTAGTATGGCAGGCCCTCAGAAGCAGAAGAGCCCCACCAACAACAACACCATTGAGGCCTGGCGTTCGATGCAGGGTGCACCCTGGTGGCCGAGCATCGAGCAGGTACAACGACAGCCCGCCGTGCAAACGAATCAGCAGCAGCAGCAACAGCAGCAGCAGCAACAGCAGCAGGGTCCGTCGAGCGTGAGCCGCGCGTCCGCGGACATCGATCAGCCGCTCGACTTCTCCGTCGGCAGCTCGATGCAGCAGCAACCGCCAGCAGCTGCGGCGCCGCCGCCGCCGCCTCCGCGAATTCGCGTCAGAGCCAAAACCGTGCAGGAGAGACTGCAGGTCGCGCGCCACGATAACAACAATGGAGTTAGTCTTGCCAAGATCGCCAAGGTGCAGGCTAGCCGCCGAAGCTATAGTCCCAGCGATGCCAGTGACGACGCTAGCGAGGACGAGGGCGTTTCCACCGGTGGCAGTCCTGCACATCCTCTACGGGGCCACGAGAATGGTGAGTTGCACTCTTGCCCTGTTGTGCAGATCTTTCGATACTTTTAGCTGGTACCGCGACTTCAGCGGCTTTTATTTTGGCGAAATACGGGGAAATAAAGAAGAAACAACGACAACAGAGGTAAATGTTTGATTCGCGGAACCGTTTTACTTTGCCATTGAAAGGCTACTTCAATTAGGAATTTGGAAGTAACGAATGCTTTGTTTTGATATGACACCTCTATCCCTTTATCTCGGCATAGAAAATCATCAAAAATATTCGCCGCCTTCCCGCCTTAGCCTTCGAATTGATTTACACGAAAATGATTACTGGCTGGAAATGCGTGACAGGCGAGAAGTACCGATCGACGGACGTATTTCTTCAAAATTACAAGTTTACGTTTCAAAGAGTGTAACAAATATGCTGGCTGTCCAAGAGTAACACGTGCCGCGCGGAGACAGAGAGCGAGCGCGGCAGCTGTCAAGTATCCTTTTTCTTCTAAATACTCGAGGGCGCGCGCGCGCGCGCGTCCTTCTGAACGCGCGCCTCATTGTTGCATGTCGCATTGTTGCCGCGACGTTTCTGTTGTCACAGCGCGATCGCTAATCGCCTCCCGACCGTATTTCTTCGCGTACGCCCCCCGACCCATCGATCCTTTCTGCACGTCAAACCTACCATTCGATTCTGTTCAATATCTTTGATTTTGCATGCCAGATATGGATTCAGAAGCGTGTGTCCTATCTTTCGGGGTTGTTGAGGAAAAGAAAATATTCAATATTTTTATCACCTTTCAACAGCGTGTTCACGCCAGTTTTTCTAATCTAATCTCAAAAGAAAAATAATATACATCGACGTATGCGCATAGTTCTTCCAAACGGATATCAAAACTCATATAGAAGAATTTGATTAATGCGTCGTTTCATTTCAATCGGCTACGATTGATTTATACGCACGCACGTTATCATTTGTCCACAGGCATTTATTAGAAAATATTGCTTGCTTATTAACGGTATATAAGATATGCTTACCGTTCGAGAGGGTCATTTTCCAACATTTTTATTAGAATCATTCGCGCGATCTTTGATAATTTACAATGCGTCTCTAAGCGATATACTCAACGACTATAAGCTCTAATTAATTAACACTTGCTGATAGTTTTTTTTTTCATTATCGATGAACTAATATGAAACGTAATCTTCTAATTCGTCATCGCTGTCGCCACAGCTTTTGTGTTAAAACGTAGTATCGGAAATGTTTTATCCGCGTTTTATCACCTCTTGACACTGAAAACGGTTATCGCTCAGTTTTTTTTTTTTTCGATTGCCTGTTTTTATAAGCTTTTCTGTTTTTACATAATTGATAGATAAAATTTAGAAAATTCTCAATACGAAATATAAAATGTTGATATTGGTCTTCTGGAGATTAAAAACGTCTCTATATCATACTTTCCAATATTACTGTCCAATCGAATTTTAGTGCGCCACAAATATTTGCCCTTGATAGTTTATTTAATTAAAAGCTTTTAGTTATCAGCGATGATTGTATTATTTTCGTGCATGTTTGGAAGCAATCGATGACACCTAGCACGAGGCGTTCGATAGATATATTCTTCTTTTGCCGCGCTCGCACACATACGAGTATCCGATAATGGCGATCGTCACTATCTAACGAATGACTTAATCAATCCGAAAACCAAACCTTATCGCACCGCAGACTTCCCCTCAACTCTCGTAAATCTCGGAAAGTCCAATCGTGCCCAATCCTTTATCGTTAGAAAAAGATTCATTCCAAAAAGAGAGAATTGTAGTGATACCAACAGATTGAACTCGTACAGTTAGTTTATCATTATCACATTTCTTGTTATTTTATGTGACTCGTGACTCCCCAAATTTCCTTTTCGTTTCCTTTAACCGCGATCAAATGCGATTGAACAATATTTGGGCATAACATTCAGAAAACTGATTTCTGAAGTAAATAATACGCTCGCGCCGTCGAAACAGAACTAGACAGTTAAATCTGCATCGAAACGCTGGCTTTCAGGCTCAGTCGTCAGCTATTCAAACCAAACAGTGTCCATAAAACAGTCACTGGTGCATGTCCAAATGGACGAATCTAGGTTGGATCGCACGCAGGTGTAAGCAGTGATCGAGTCCGCCACACACGCGTATGTACACACATTTGCATAGTTGAAAAACGTTTGTTCGAGCTTTCGCTTTTTCACCTGACCGCGAGAGAGAGAGAGAGAGAGAGGGAAAGAGAGAGAGAGAGAGAGATAGGGGGAGGTATATAACGCTGTCTGCTCTGTTATTAGTTGCCGAGAGAGCAAATTGTGCCGAGAGAGAGAGAAAGAGAGAGAGAGTGAAAGAGATCCCGGGAGGCGAGAATCGTGAATACATTTGCTCCTGGCGCCTAAGGAGGCGGCGGTGGCACGGTGTTTACGAACGGCGTCAACCCCCCTCCTCCACCTCTGCGGCCTTTTAGGTAAATTGGCTGCGGGCTACTTGATGAGGTCTCTGTGTGGATTTATACTATGGACTCGGCTATATGCGGCTTGATTGTTAAGCGTCGACGTGGTGGATATAAGAGAGTAATAAACTTTTTGGAAAAAAATACTTTTATATGTTGCATTCTTTCGATTTGCAATTTATCTCGTGGCGGAATATTTCTTAGACAAATAAATTTAATTTAATTATACTGAGATTAACATCAATTTCTGAAATTATTTATAATAATTATTGGTCTGAATCAGTAAATCAATCATTAGATATCGTTTAGCTGATGTCAAAAATTTATGATTGATAAATGCTATTGGAATGTGAGGGAACGTATATATAAGTACAATTCAATAAAACATGCAACGAATTATGATTACTAAGCTGTAAATCGATTATTTTAAGACATGTGTCGCAACAAAATAAACAATCATTTTTAGCAGTCGCAATAAACAACACATCTATACGTAGATCCATGTTAATGAGATAACGTAATCATCGAACTACATCTCTAATTTATGTTATTTAAGAAAGAAACAAAGTACCCATTTTTCAATCAATTTGATTCAAATCTGCGTAACGCTTAAGTCGTCTAGATAACAAAGCGTTCAACAGCATCAAATAAGGAAATTGGATCGCGCGTGTCTAATGCACATTTTTTAGGCAGTGATATGGTAATTAAGATCTTTAACTTGCTTATCACTACAAAATCTCGACCAAATTATCTATTCGGCTGTTTCTAACTTCGTGAAACTTTTAAGCTTACGCAGGTTATTGGTGTCTCTTCAAAGAGCTCACCTGATAAAAAAAATATTTCCACGTATAAATTTTACAAATGTCATATGCGTTTTGAAGTTTGCTCACGTTGCTTTGTTATGAAATGATTCTTTCCCGCATTTTTTCTGATGACAATGATAGCGTTCCGTTAACAACAGTGCTTTTTCAATGTTTCGATGTTGATTCACAATTTATTTATATCACACCTTGTATATCGACTACATCATTCTTGAATAGTTCTCAAATTCATAGTTATCGTATTATAATGAATTTAGGCTTTATGAAGAAAAAGGTGAACTTTGGCCCCGAAGTTAATAAACTTAATAAGCTATTAGCAATAATACAAACGTATTTCTGCGACCTTCATGTAGTTTATTAATATCCATTTTATATTTGACTTCAAACAATGCAATCCGTTTCTGCCTACATATTTTTCTTTAAATAATCAACTCTTATTATAATCGATTATAATCATAAATACAAATTTCTGTCTGAAATAATTATCTGAATCTAATCTGAAATAGTTTGATCGTTTTCACTGAAGCTTAAAATCAACAATAGTAACGATAGATTTTATTTTAAGCTATAGTGGTCGCTATTATTCGATAACACCTTCATTAACTATTTCACTTCCTAGGAAAAATAGATAGAAAACAAATTCAAACACGCGAACAAGCACACAGCCCGAAACGCATCTCTGATGTAACGGTGTATCGAAATACTAAGTCGTTGTTTGCACAACCGTTGATTCATAATCGTTCGGCCTGTATTTTTGCACTAACGTTTGAAATTCTGAGAAATCCAATTGCGAATAATAATCGCTGCTTTGAATAGCCTCGGCTGGAAAAAAAATTGAAGGAAAGTGAATCACGCGCGCAGCTCTCCCGCGAGCAACCTGTCCGAATAAATAAAAAGAAAAAAAAATAATCGAGAGAACTGGATGGGAGCTTTACATTGCATATCGTATACCTACGCGGCTTTTATCTTGGCGTAATCGCGTACACACGCGCACACGTCACTGAAAAAACCAAGGCTTGGTTCGCTCGCTCGGTCAGAGATAAAGGTCGTCGAAGACGCCGGAAGCGATATCACCGGAAAGGAATCTGAAAAAAAAGAGTGGACTCGTTCGTATCAATGGCGCGCTAAGGGTCGTGCGAATATTTCGATGGAAATTGCGCGTTGTCATCACACCGGATGATGCATAATCCATATTACACGCGAGCAAGTGAGCTTGAGCCTTGATATTTCGCCGAGAGAGACTTTGCGATTCATTATCGCGATTATCGCCGCTGATGTGTGTGTCATTCGGCAAATAATGCATATCCTACGTGTGTAAGAACGGCTCTCGTTGATTTTCCAAACTCATCGCCACACGTTTCACTGCCTTTTCCAGTAGTTCACCGTCCTTCGTTTGTGTTCAGTGGAAGCATTTTTTCCGCTTGTCGGTGTCAGCTCGTCTGCTTGGAAAGTTTGTTTGACGCGGTACGATTCAATCACTGATATTGCAGCTAGTTATGATCAATCAGCTTCAAAGCAGTGTATAATATTCAATCATAAGCGTGTTATCGATATATATTGTGATTTTTCAACATACTGAACGTATGCATACACAAAACGTAGACATAGATAAGGATATTTTTTTTAGTTTCAATCTTCTTTTTATCGAATATTTATTCAATATACTCAGATTAAGTATAGTTAACATTAAGAAACAGCAAAGAAATTTTGCTTTATCGCAAAGAAACGTCGAAA